GAAGCTCTTCTAATAATTCATTTCATGGCTACATAAAAAAAGTGTTTCAGGGCCCCTTTAAGGCGCTGCTAAGTAAAGTACACAGGACTCGGGAATTTCGCTTTCATAAAAAGGCTGTCGCCGCAGCCAGCATTGGATTCCGCGACCAAGCACCATATCTACTAGACTACCATGGCACGTGTATTTGGTGCTTTGAATGACTACGAATGCAGTCTTATGCAGCAAATTCACGATCCCTTTACTACGGAGTGCAACATATTCGCGATACACCAAAAAAACTTCGCGCAATTACGTCGTAAAATGCGTGCCACATTTAATGTCGACCGTCAAGTACTCACGGGGAACGTATGTACAAAACATCTTGCACCGTCTCTTGTAAGACATTCTATGCAAGAACCACGTGTCCTGTAGCTGATAGCGGAGAGCTCAAAGCACGTACAAGAGCTCTGACTTCTTTGTTCGTTCTCGCAGGAGTGACGTATGTTCAATCTTCTATAATTTTTTGCGTGCGTACACACACGACATGTTACGTAGTTCCGAGGAACGTTTTTTTTTTTTTGTTGCAAGATCCTCGCTTCTGGAATATCTCGCGAATTAGCAAAATACATAAAAGTATTCATTAACAATGCATCTTAGATAATTTAACTGCAGAATATATTGGAGGTTGCAATTTAAAGCTGGAAAGTCTACATACTCGGTGGTTTTATAATTCAGGCAATAAATGGCGTTAACTCAGGATATGCTATGAAAGTTTACGAACAGGGGATTGAAATCATGACGGCGTAAATTTTCTAATATGTGTCTTTTTCTGTTCATTCGTTCTCTTATTTTTCAGAATTAACAAAATATTATATTTTGGATAGTCCTCCACATGGGCTAAAAACTGGGATCAAACAGCTTTTCTGGGGCCTAGGAGACAGATTACATGGCAAACGTGTGACAGGTGGAATATTTTCGAAACACATAAGCCGAAAAAATTGCATAAACAAACATATTAAAATAGCCGCACAAAGCAGGATAGGCAGAGATTTTAATTACAAACACTTAATTTTTAATTTAATTAAATTTTTTTACAAACACTGTTGAACACCAAATATTACTAAAGGAATGTTCAAACATTATTTACAGAAAGTAAATAGCAATGGGGCTATTAAAAACAACAATCGATAGGACAAATGACACCCACAATTTTGGCAGTAAACAACACAAAACACAAACATCGTCACAATATAATAAAAAATAGTACTTCATCATACACAGTTATAGGCAGAGAAAAATAAAGTGCAAGTTTGTGGAATATTTGAAATATGTAAACAGTAGTAATTGAGAAAAATTTCACGGAAAGTACTAAGTGTAGGTGCTTATTTAAAATGCATGAGATGTTATATTTCATTGAATGTAGTTTATAGTCACTATAAAAACGCAGTACCAGTCAAGCTCTTGTCTTACAAAAGTTGATAATGTGACTATTGCTTTGCCGAAGAGCAATTGGCTGAACTGTTTAAATTCAGAACACAAATAAAATGATCGAAGAATGCGGAGCTCGTAAATACATTTGATTTCATTTATACTATGTTTGCGTAAATGTGTCAAAGTTGGAGATCGGTAAGCAGTGTTGGCAATGTGATGGATAGCTTTTTTCTGCAAAAGCAATATTTCGTTTGTTACGTTGAGTTGTAGTAAGCCGAACCAAACTGCAATAATTTAAATGCGACTGAAATAATAATTAATTTATTTGGATTTCTATTCCTGCTAGAAGAATTTCACACGATGGCAATGCTCCTGCAGTAAAAAAAGTTTCTTGCACAAATGATTTACGTGAGAATACCAACATAGATGAGATAAAAATGTCACACCTAGAATTTCTTCGACAATATCTATTCTTTGATCTGCACACATTATATCTTCTTGAATGCTGCAAACCCTATTTTTAGTTCTATATATATTTACCTTCATTTTCTTAGCGCTAATTCCAAGTTTCTTTGATAAGGACTACGATCTAATGTTACAGGAGAAGCAATTTTAGCTTTTTATCAACGTATCTGTATCTGCACCGGAAAACAATGCAGTTGCATCATCAGCATACAGTATAAATTTTAGTGACCTATTGATATTAACAGTATCATTTATGAAAACACATTAAGAAGGGCTCCTAATGCACTGCCCTGCGGGACACCTCTACTTATATAGGCAATAAAGATGAGTGATGGTCACCAAAGTACACACACACTGTGATTGTTCTGATAAGTATGAATTTATTAGATTTAGTGAGGTACCCATAAACATTATGAATTTCTAACTTATGGAGTAGCGTACTATGGGCAATAAAATCGAGAGCCTCGATGAAATCAATGAACAAACCTAATGTAAAAAGTCTGCTGTCAATGTGATCTGAACTTATTTGTTTGAGGTGAAACAAAAGTGGACTTTTTCGAACTTCCTTTAAGAAAACAAAAGTGAGCGTCGCTTATAATGTAATTTTTGGTTTAGAATGTGTCTAATCTAATGCACAGCGTTTTTTCAAAACCCTAAGGAAACACTGGAACAATCTATTTTGAGCGATAGTTTCAGATGAGGTTTTCGTCACCAACTTTTACGCAGTACAGAAACAGCGGAGTGCTTTATTTCACGTGGGAGCTCAATGAACTATACTGCTGAATTGGATATGTACTTCTTAAACCTGAGCGTCGATTCAATTCGCCGTTCTTGGTTCAATGTTGTGGTATAACAAAATCAGTGATGGCTCAAGCTACAAAATTCATTACTTCGCGTGAAAACGTAAATATATAGTTATAGAAGCTACTCGTACATAGTCTTCGGTTACTTTTAAAAAATCCATATCGCAATGTCATCCACCTGTTTCTTCCACAAAACAAGAAAAAGTACAGATTTTTTTCAAACAGAAAGCTTGTATAGTTAAAGAAAAATATTTATTATCATCAAACATTCAGGGGTGCAGCAGCCGAAAAAAGATTGAGGCCCTTTTGCAGCAGCTAGATGTTAATATCGTAGCACGAAAGTTGAAAACCAGAGCAAGTGACCAGGGGAAAAGACATGCATTTTTGAGCCCAAATCTTTAATTCGGAGTATTATAACAAAGAAGTCTTATATTACGAAAGAAAACGAAAATATCAACAGACCAGGTAGCATCAACGAGCCTGTGCACAGAAGAGCTGAGCACTGCTACTTCAATAAAAAAAAACTGCATTGAACAACCTCACAGTGCAACACACGATGAAGTCTACATTAGCATTTGCAGAACCTGTCAAACCAGTCGGAAGGGGCTGCAAATGCCGATGTAGACATGCCAAGCTGCCGACCTCTCCGCATAGTCGTAAAGCAGGTGCGAAGGGTGCAGTAGAGGGAAAAATAAAAAAAGTGTTGCACTCTTCTGTTTGTTGATGTTGTTTTTTAGGGCCACACATACGTCAGAAGGATTGTCAGTGTTCTATCTAAACATCAGCTATGATGCTTGCACTTTGAATGATACGGGATGTGCCCACATAAGCAAATAGGTACTTTGAGTTGAACACACGCACAATCCTACGCAATCAGCTTGATACGTTGCATACGCCGCAAGTGAACCACTCAACACGACCTTTGTTCACCGTATCGACCATACCGGGATGCGCTTCGTTCAACTAGATGTATTATATGTGAAATTAAATAGCTTTAAAGTTCTTCTTAGCGTCCTCGAGTGGTAGTGGCCGTGATAACGGCCACTGGCATCCATGCCGAACCAAATTGGTTTCACTTCTTGTCCCATCTAGCAACCTCACTGCTTTCATTCGAAATTTCTCGAGAGTGTCACGTAGCTAGAGCAACCTGTCATTACGCTTGCGTGCGCCGGGGTTTTTTTTTTTTTTTCGGGTGTGCACTCGCATCCGTGGAATAAATACGTTCTGTTACGCACATGCGCACTTCTCTGCAGTAGCCGTGCAGCGTCCGTAGGCTCATTACGTACGTCCAACTGAAAGTGTCTATTGAGGAACAAAATGTGTTGCGACTCGTGACAACTACTAGTAGCCCCTACAAAATTTTAGCACGCTTTATTTCAAGTTTACACTGAACTGAGGGGAAAGTAGCTAACAGAACATTTTGCATGCTGCAGTAGAACATTGCTGAAAACTTCTGGAACACCTTCTTTCTCTATTATGATAGGTTTAAGGTTACGCCTACGGTGGGCGCTTTTGAATTAGATTGAATGACGATGCCCAATGTTGATGGGGCCGCTCTCTCATCCTTGTTAAAATTAGCACAACCTAAACTATTTCGAAGCTGGAGCGATAAGCATTTTAGCGAAACATGACGCAAATTAAACAAGTTTAACGGTTTTGGCTCCGCTTAGCGCAAAAAAGCAACTGTATCAGATTGACATAACGGGCGCAGCTGTTGTATGACTGAGCATTCGAATCCGGAACCAGCGTTTGTTTCGGAGAGCCTTCACTAATCAGAAGGCTAGCCGACTACAGTAGCAAAAGCGGATTCATTCACAAGTCAAAGCTCCCAGCCAACAATGTCGACAAAGTTCTTGCCAACTAGAACGCTGGTAGACTATAGTTTGGACAGTTTGCGCCATATTCTAGGAAAATCCGCGTTGTCGTATTAAAAGCTAGTTTCAAATCCGTGCATATCTCGTTATTTCTGTTCGTTGTCCTCGTATGATTACCAACGAGAATTTCCCTTTAATGGAAACCCACTTGTCTGAAAATTTTCTGTGAATTCCTTTCATGGCTTCGTTTTTCAAATTAGAAAATATTTCCATCTCATGAAACCACGCGCAAAATGCAGGTTTCTGCAGAACGGATTTTTGATGGATGAACTTGGTATACACCCGTACTTTTCCTATGGCCGGGACAAAATTGACTGCCACGACAAGGAATCGATGGTGCGTCTGAGGCTGTGTGACAGCTCACCATCACATTGAAAAAGTAAAGCAATATTGGAATATGCCGTGGAACGTATATTGAAGAGAAAAAAAAAAAACAGCGGGTGCTTACCTCTTCCGCCGACGCCTCTGTAATGTGGGCAGCGGTGGAGCTGGGCTCTATCGTCGTCGACGTTGCCGTAGTCGTGACATCGTTGGCCGTGCTCCCTGTTGTTGGCACTTCCCCTACAGTCATCTCGGTGATTTCGAACGTCGTCGAGCCGAGGAACATGGTCGTGGTCTCGGCCAGCATTGGCACAGTCTTACCGCTGGACTCATCGTCCGCCACGCACATGCACAATCGGATTAAGACAAACACAAGTAACGACAGCGTCCGCTTGTGAGCACTGGGAGCCACCATCTCGGCTTCAGTGAAACAAGACGCGGAGTGATTGTGACGAATGCAGTCTGCAAGCTCCTGACAGCTCTTGAAGAGGCAACACCACAACAGCTCAGGGTGGCCGTCCTTGCCCGAGAGTCCGTCTCCTCACGGCCTAAAAGAGCTTGAGGCGAGTGCACTGTGATGCGACCGGCTCCGTCATGTGTGGTGCCCCTAACCCTGATGGGCCTGTAGCTGCGGGTAGTTCTTGATGTGCTCTGAAATGCATTGAACACAATGTTACTCATCATATAGTTAACTAGGGACTCAAGCTTGGAAGTCGTGAGTGCCTCCATCACAGTTACGATGTAACCCAGAAAAAGTGCAGGCTGAAAGACCTTTCATAAAATAGTTTAGTGTGATAAAAAACTGGTCTTTACTATCCTGGCCTAGCGCCATCAAGCTTGCAATAATATCTTGACAAGGAAATTTTTTTTCCGAAGGGGTGTAATAATGAAGGTAGTCGTCGAGTATGGTCCAATCACACTTGCTAAATACTGTACGAATGTAAATAAGTGAAGAAAGTGATCTGCAGGCTCATTCTGACTGTTTTGCAACCTCGAAAATTGCAAGACTAGTGTGATCCAGTGTGCGATGACATCATGAGGTATATCTATCTCTCTTTGGTCATGAAGCCGATACCAGCGCATGTAAAGATCAGGTGAGCAGCGTTTTAAAACATTCGTGGCTTGCCATGATATTCGAAAGTTTCGAGCCACTGCAAAAAGTAATCGCGCTCACATAATAGTAATACACGAATACTTGTATTGCTTGCTTATGTGACATTCATCTTAGCGGCTATAGCAGGCCTTTAGAAGTACTTCCATAGAGTCGGTTTCACTCTAAGAATAAATACGAGCTTATTTCGAAAAACCAGCTGGGTTTTCCAAAAAACCAGCTTCATGTTTCATTCCGAAAACCCAGCTTCATTCCGAAAAACCAGCTTCATGTTTACATTTGAGTAGTGTCAGCAGGTTTCATTCGAAGTGAAACTACGCTCTCTCTACTAAAGTAAACACTTGGCATATTGTAAGATAAAGGCTTGCCTTTGGGAATGAAAATGCTATCTTTTGCGTAGTGGTCATGTCACAATCTCTGGTAACATTTGTGGCATATTCACTCTTTTTATCGAAAACAAGGAACGCAATCGCGTAAGGTATGATAAGGTAAATTTATTCAGGTCCTGAAGATTAACGCTTTGGTTGACGCAGACGGCTCCCACGTATGAATAGCAAATTTCGACAATCCGAAACTCATGCAAAGGGCTCAGCGTTACGAAAACTTGTTTGCGGGATTGGATGGACAACGCATACGAGTTCTTTTTGAGTGAGATGTCGTTAGCTCTCAGTGTAACTTATACCACAGTCCCTTAATACCGTTCTGGTCACGAAACTTCTCCGTCACTCTATGGGAGAGCTTGATATGGTGCCAAGAGCGGCCGCTACGTGGCGCAAGCCGTCCTAGGGGGGCCATCGCCCCGCTGCGCCCGGCGGAACGCACTGGCCGCGGCGGCATCCCGAAGGCGTTGTGTGGTGGCAGCTCGCGGTTTCTGCATCAGCTAAACGCGAACTTCATGTGCCAGTGCACCGTGCTCAAGGTGGACGGCATGAAAATCCGAATGAACAATGCCTAAGACGTGCTGTGTGACGGGTTGCAGCTCCGGATACCGAAGCAACAAACAAAAAACGTCGCTCTTCTGTTTCCCAAGTAGCGCCGAACTCCGAGAGAAATGAAAGCGAGCTATACCGCGGTTGGAAGCTGGCGGTTTCAGCTTCGAAAGTAAGAACGTTCGGGTGTGCGAAAAGCATTTTGATGCTAGCGACGTTGTGAGAACCGACGAGCACATCGTGAACGGGGTGGTCGTGTCGCTTCAGCGAGAGAGACCGAGGATTCGCACGAACGCCGTTCCAAGAATTTTTGACGGGCTCCCGGCGTACCTGACAAAGCCACAAACAAAATCGAGGGGCTATTCGAAAGTACCTAGCAGCTGTCTTCTTGCTCTCCTGAAAATTGTTGAAGAACATGTAGAGACGTACACGCTGCAAAGCATTGCACGCGGTGACGTGTACGCGAGGATTGTTGAGGGCATTTTGCTCGACAGCCGCACAGCGTCAGCAAGTGTAGGTTGTCTGTTGCACTTTTTAGGGACGACAGCTGAGGTTGTACACTTTTTTTTGAGATGTAGATTACATTTCTTCACTCGAGAAAAAAACAAAGCCTCGCGGGCAACTGTGCGCAGTTCACGCCCTGCAAGTGGTGGGTGGAAGCCACAGTGTTAAGCATAATGGCTGTGTATGTGAGCACGCCTTCCCATTTGTATATAGTGTTGTATATCTTGTATACATTACACTGTATTATTTTCGTACTATTCATGTTTATCTGCATATAGTGTAAATAGTGTATATTCAAATACAGTTTATTTTAGGCAGTGAGCTAAGGCAGAGTGCAGCTGTTAATGAAACGAAATACACATTGTACAGTAGAGTCACAGATTGTGTAACATTGCTCAGAACAGCTGCAATAGTTTCTAGTGCTTTTCTTCTCCAAAGTGTTGTTCTCAGTGTATTTTGTGTAAATAAATGTTTTCCAACTTTCTCCCCATTACATGCACCATATGTTAATCTCCCATTCATAAGTACACACCTGACTACTAGGCGGCGTATCATTAGCACCAAATTTAAGATTTATTGCATGCCTTAAATCATAACCACCCTTCCCCCCCTCCCACCCAAAAAATAAAAACAAATGTGTGATGAGGTACCTCGGTAGTGGCAGAGGCGGCCAAGCGGCTAGCACTGGCATCAAAAGGAACTTCCATATTAGACTGCTTTACTTCCGTTCCTGGAGAAATCATGGGTTGTCGCCCGGTAAATAATAATGCCCTAAACAGTAAACACAAGGAAACGTCAAGCGGCGGATGTCCCGTGTAAACTGCGTGGAAAGAAGTGATCAATCAAATGTTGGGCACGTTTAGAGCGGTTGCGAAAGCCCTCGGCATCGAAAGTCCCCGCGTCAAAAAAGCGATCGGACAAACGTGTGTCCAAAACAACTGCGCATTTGGGTATAAACTCAATTGAAAGGTCTGGAATAAAACTTCTGGCTCAACCATTCAGTTCATTTGAATACTTGGGTAGTAGCACGCGAGAGGCGAGCCGGATATAAACCAATGTGATTGCTCTTGTACTACCCGGTCGTGTTTCATTTCGTTCACCTTCCTCCCCCTATTAGCGGCCCTACCAGAATATAAAGCTCACCTACCGCATAAACATAATCGCCCTTTGGCCGGGCGCAAATACAAACATGTTGTCGAGCAGATCAAGCAGTAGCTGCTCGCATCAAGAGCATGGAGCATAAGCATCGTCTTTCAACACTTGCGAGCTATAGCTCGCAAGTACCGCTTCGAGGCATCGTAAGTACGCATATAATTGGGCTATGAGACAATTATTGACACAATGCGTTATCGCGCGGTGTGAGAACACTTTTAATGCGCTGCTGTTTATAAGGTGGGCCCGCACTTCCAAGTAAACTACGCGTGCGTTCCAAAGTAAACAGCTCTCATTCGTCGTCGACACTGGATCCCGTTTCAACTTATTTATCTGGTGGCATTGATGCGTTCAGAGACGTTTAAAAAATGTAACAGGAGGAACAGCACGCACATAATCGCGTCGAAACGTCGGCTGCAGTGCGCATACAAGCCCAGCAGTGGCGGCGGCTTGTGGCCCCCATGCGACGGGTGGCGCCTCTAGCGACAGATTTTGTCCCTATATCAACCTTCGGGCGGAGTTTCGTGACCAGAAAAGCATTGAAGGACTCTGCTTATACTTATCTTTGGGTTGTAACGACTAATGTTCTTCTGTTCAGCCAACATATTCTGCCATGCTTTATCAGCATGGATCTGTCCAACACTTGTCACGTTACATTACAGTATGTGCCCAAAATGTCGAAGCATCTCTTCATTCAACATTAAGTACACTGTAACATTAGAGTTTTGATCTACAACTATTCACGCCTGTTCTGCTTTCTTTTCAGCTTCTGTTCTTTCCTATTCCACAAAATCTGAAGTAATATGACATGTGAAACAATATAAATAGAAAAAATTTATCCGTAGGGTACAAAACAATCATGCAAAGCAGTGCATTACAAAAGCTTTAAATTGACGCGCAAACATGGTGGCTTCGGTATTGATGTAATTAGAGCCGTAGGCACGATAACGAAAAAGCTCAACGCACACTAACACGTCCATTGACCATCTTTCATACTCCATGGTTTTTCTAATTTAGCACCAGCCAAGAGCACAAGCAGTTTCAGGAATTCCGTGATATCATGCATTTAGGTTCACATTAGACGAAATGGAGCGTGGTTCTTGGCCTACCTTTTCTCATTGCACTCCTGAATGTTTCTGGTTATTTGGAGTAGAGTATTTATATTAAAACTTCAGTGTTGGCGTCATTTCTCGTGCTCTGTTCATCAGCAAGAACAGAAAAATCACGAAGTAAGTGTTCGACAGATGGTAGGTTCTTTTAGAACACTGTGAGCCAAAATGTCACAATTGTAAACATCGTAGCACCACAAGCACTTCCGCGATTCTCCTGTAGCGTCTATATTTTGCTCTACACTGCGCAATAAACGCCAGAAGCTGAAAGCTGTCCAAAAAAGCATTTTAATTCAATGATAGCTTCACAGTTACGTTTAATTAACAATTGATGAAAAGACAGTTGATCGATGAGACAACTCAAAGCAAGGTATCAATGATTTGAAATTTCGTGTGGAAGTTGAAAAAATTTACTTAAATGGTTCACAAAGCCCCCATCTCCCTTCCCCCTCTCGCCCCCCCAAAAAAAAGGACTCGGCATGCTGAGAAAGCACATTCTGTAGATGGCAGGCACTGGAATGGCAAGCTCAGTCAAATATTTGCAGTCGTGCGTGGTACGGAGAGCTTTAAAGTGGAGCGCACAATTGCCATCTCTTTAGTCTAGGCATGC